TTAACTTGATTTCAACAAGCGTGCAATTGACGCATGCAATAAAACCACTTTAACAGGACTCAAAGAGAAGCTGGTCTAGTCTGTCAGTCATGATGTGCTTATTAAGAAGCATCTTACAGTATACAATACCTCTACAGAATAGTTCTTTGGCTGTTGTATAACATCAATGGAGTAATTGAAAAAGTATTCCCTACAATCCATCTGTAAGCTACTGTTCACCAATATTTTCTGTTCGAGGACGTGAAGATTGAGAGTCAAAGGACAGGTTGGACATCGCAGTCCTACACAGCAAAACTTGTACAAAGCTGTGGAAAAAAGTTATTTGCAAAGCAAATGCTGCATATGAAAAACATACCGGGACTAAATTAATCTTCACAGGAGAAGTAGAAAACATGAGGAGGAACACGTGCGAAAAGGGTTATTAAGAGTAATTTCAGCACATTGAGTTAACAGGCCTTATACATGAGCAGAAAACATTAAACAAATAAATGAGTAAAAGACACCGTTTGACTCTAACTCGCGCTGTAATGGGACATTTCCATGATGGCGTAACTTTATTCAGAAAGCCTTGCGCATATTTTCATGGATATTCGGATTTTTTTTTAAATCCCTTTGGAGGGGATTGGGACTAATGTCATTACATAGAAATCTGGCAAAGCATTCGGGAATCTTTATTACATAAAATCAATTCTAGAACTCATTAATAATTCATGAGTTATCAGTCCAATGAGCATCGAACTATTGGGTCACATGATGGGACATTCCATAAAGTACTGATGTTTTATTAATCAATTCTATATCAGATATATAGAGAACTGAGATGTTCAAGTTCATCAGCGCTATATTGCAACCCAACACTAGCAAAGGTGTCAGCTTTAATGTCGCATCATACACCTTTGCTAGGTTTTAAATCAGTTTAAATCAATGTGCAGACATGCATGCAGTTTAGCATAGACTAGCCGTTCGTCCGTGTGGGATCAAAATTCTTTCAATTGTGGCACAATGCACATGCTTATTAGAAGTTTAATATACGTTATCACTGTTACTCTCTCTAAACGTCGTGATCACATTACTCCTTAACTAAAAGATCGACACTGGCTCCCTGTTCGTCAACGTATTAATTACAAGATTCTTCTCGACTTACCTTCAAAGCACTACATGATCTTACTCCGTCTTACATTTCTGAACTAATCTCTGTATACAAACCTTATAAAACTTATTAATAATGCATAAGCTATTGCTCCAATAAGGGCTGACCATTTAATCAGGTGATTGACCTTGTAAATCTGATACAACCACTAGTGGTTATATCAGATTTACAACACGGTCATCACCATTGAGACAACCCAACACTAGCAAAGGTCTCGGTTTTAGTGTCGCATCATAGACCTTCACTAGGTTTTGAAGCAATCAAAGACGGATAACAGAACTCGCTTATGCAACAGATGGCTTGCTTTCCATGTGGGATGGATAATTATTCAAAATGTTCTGTGTTGCAGTAAATTGCGCATGCTTAATAGGGACTAAACTCAGCAGTTACCTTATTTGTCATTTTTCGTCATTTATCTCACTGTAATTCATGTTAATTTGTGTTGGAGTTTTATAAGTCGTTTACAACATTCGCGTCCGTGTTGTATGGGAATTACAATCTCTCGCCTGCGGCTCGAGATTGTAATTCCCATACAACACGGCCGCTCATGTTGTAAACTATACTAAAAGAACGCTTCGGTCCTCTAAAGAACTACTCCTATCTGTTAAACCTTACTCGACGAAAGCATATGGCTCTCGCTCTTTCTCTGTTGCCGCCCCTACTTTATGGAACTCTCTCCCATATGATTTAAGAAACATTGAATCTTTGTTGTCCTTTAAGAAAGAACTCATAACTAACAAACAAATTAAACTCTAAAAGTTAAACTAAACAAATAAGTTTTATCAGAGCGCATAGAGCAGACTTGTATATGCGCTGTACAAATTTTCATTATTATTATTATTACTATTATCGCATTTTTTTTCTTTTTTTTTTTTTTTCTAAAATTATAACAATTTCTCGATGTTGGAGTTCTAGAAGTTCTAGTACGTGTTTTATCGGGTATATAGAATATCGCCTGCGGCTCGAATCGTAATAAATAGCCCCTCGAACGTATTTTTAAACTCCAACTACATATACGTCGCAAATTTCGATTCGATTGCACTCAAGTTTTCACAGAAGTAACAGTGATTATCGATAATTATTTGTTGATAAATTAAATTGTCAAAAAGCGAAGCCATTTGGATAAACAATGGAAAATAAAAACTCCTTCATTTTTCTCAAAGTTAATTTTCTCGAAACTCATCATAGAGATTGCAACAAAATGTTCAGAATTATTGTATTAATAACATAATTGGCATATTGACCAAGTTTGAATAAATCTTAATATATATCTTCGATATATTCGAGCATTTCATTGTGTTGCTCAATACGATGAGCTCGAAACACGATCTTAACGAGTGTGTTTCCCTTCTCGATTGTTTTTGAATTCCCATACGCGCGCTGTTTTATAGTTCTGTTAATTTATAAAAAAAAATTTCGAGCGAAAATATAAACACGATATAATCAAGAGCGCTACTGAAACTAAAATTATGAACTATCAGATCGAAAAATTGCTTAATTTATCCAACTAAAGATAGTCGATAATAAATAAAGTTTTACTTATCTGAAATATATATACTGAATATGTCGTCTAAAGCACTTTATTTTTCGAAATTCATCCAAATGATCGTTACTCAAAAAACTCTCAAACTGTTGTTACTTAATTCACTACTGCTGTCCTTGTTGTACCAGCAACTGCTGTCTCGCCAGGAACGTTATTCATTAACGGGATTTTAATATCACTTTGCCCTTCCCGGGCCATAAAATTAATAAATTAAGCAACTTTTCGATCTGATAGGTCATAATTTCAGTTCTAGCGCCCTTGATACAATGATATAAACACGGTCGTCAGCCAATCAGAGCACGTGTTATATATCAAACATTTTATATATCCCGATAAAACACGCACCCTCGTTCTATGAACAACACATAAAACACGCACGCTCGTTCTATAAACAACACGAAGAGATTAAGATTGCTATTTTCTTTGTGTGTTCTTTTGTTTTTAATTAGCTTATTGTTTGTCTCGTTATTGCTATGCTTGTGTCGATGTCTTATGATCCACACTTGACTTAAATGCTTTGTTTTTTCTTTTGTTCTAGTCTTATGCCTGTGCTTATGTTCTGGTGAAAGCCACTTACGGTTCTCAATATATTATAAACTGTTGAGTCGATTGCTCTGGGATCTAAATGCCTGTTTACACTCTGGCAATTTTGTCGCGCAATATGAGCTGCATTATGAGCTGCAATCCCAAATCCTCTACTGATAATATATCTGTCGTTTAGTGGAATAATTAGGCCTTTGAGTTACTAACTGTACTAACATTCTTTTCAAGATTACCGTCTTATAATTTTCAGAGGAAAATAGTTACCTTTTATCACCAAGTTTGATCCAAGACTTAAGTGAGGAGTGATATTTTTGCTCAAATTGAAATGAAGTTCCCTTGACCCTAAAAAAATCAGAATGTTTAGTATTCTCAGTTTACATGTCATTTTTTCAAAAAAGTCGAAATTGGAATTAGTGCCTAACTTTTTGTGCTGTATTTTTGAATGAAATACATCTAAAAGTCCGCTCGATGCACATTCGAGCAATAATTCCAACGACTTTGTTGATATGCAGATATCAAGTCGATATTATCTAACAAGAATGTTTCCATTTTTTATTTTTTTAAATAAATGTAGTGTGCGTGTATCTAGCTAATCAGTTGTGTGTATATTTTTTTTTTCGCCGGCCAGGAAGGAAGGAAGACATAACATTTCATTAGTTCGAAATTTGCATTTCTACGGTTTTTCACAAACACCGAGTTTTTGATCATCTCGCATTTTGAAACGAAATATGACCGTCGATGAGTAACCGACGGCAAAAAAACAAAGTTTTTGTAAMCAAAMGCCAAGCAGAACACTTCCGCAAATAACGTCGACTTTTGAGACTCTTTTTTAAGACTTTTTTAAGACTGACTTTTAGGCCTTTTGTAAAAGACTCTTCATGTGCTGTAAATTATAAATCACACCAAAGTTTGACTCAGTGATGAATAAAAAGTACTTACTGTATATATAGCGCTTGTTTAAATGCATGAAAACTTACCTGGCTTGTTCAAGTACAATAATTCAGTTGGTATAGGAGACCAACTAAGATCACCAGGAGGCTTTATTGCAATGTTTGCAAAGGAAAACGTTGCAGCCCTAAAAATCCAAAAGAACCGAGAAATTGCTAATCTAGCGTAAACCTCCAGATGGTACAGATGACAAGTAGTAATCATTTTTCTGTTTTGCTTAGTACTCCTGAAAAAAAAAGTATACCAAGAATTGGCAAAATCTTTCCAGGTTCAGGTAGGTTAAATCATCGAGATTTACTGCGGATATAGACATTGAAAAGTTTGAGAAATATATTGTGCGAATAGCAACATTTCAAATTCTAAATATACTATCGATGTGATTCCATATAATCAGGTCACATGGTACTAGTCTAGTACCACGGACATATTTAAGGGCATGTCTTGAACAATTAAAAACAAATAGAGTTATTGAAAAATTATTTTTCATGCTATGTTGGCTTTTATATGACACCCATCAGGAGAACAATCAATAACAGAGTAGAGTGAGGTCTACTGTTGCTGCACTGAAAACAAAAMTCAAAGAAAATGAGAAACGAACCTTAATTGTAGGCAAATAAATTTATATGTCAATTTTTGATATTTAAAATTGCTCTTAAAATTGTCTTCTTTTTACATTTTCGAGACGGCATATTACTGAATGCTATGTTGTGATGCGTGTCAATCACAATTGAGAGAATAGTGTGAATTGCATGAATTTGCCATTATTATATTTTGCATTAATATAAWGGTCTCCTCCTACTTTGATTCAGAATTTCTAGCGATGCTATTGCTAATGATGTGAAGAATTCCAWACTTCATCTCGTATATCCCACGTTATTCGTTAGAACACAATAAATTGTTCAGTTGCGTTAAAAASTGAAAAAATATTTGTACAAGCAGTTTTCATGCTTTATTTATCTAACCCATCGCTATCACTAAAGAATTTGAATTTCAGAAAGGTTTGGGGAGGCTATGGCTATCAACGGAACAAATTACGTACATTTTCAAAAAAATAACTTTTGTAAAAAGAGCGCTTGATGTAGCCTGCGTAGCGGCCCTAT